ATAAATTATAATGGTAAAACAAGAGACCATTCATGATAACAACAAAAAGACAATGTTTAGTAACAACTTCAAGAAGAAATGATCAAGGGGTGCCTGGGTGGCTCAAGTGGGTTAAGTGTCTGACTCTTGATTTTGGCTCAGGTCATGATCTCACGGTTTGTGAGATCAAGCCCCACATTGACCTCTGCACCGAAAGTGCAGAGACTACTTGAGATTGTCTCTGGCCCTCCCCCAACTTGTGCCTGCAAAAATAAACATTAAGGAAAAAAAAACAGAAAAACTAGTTCACCATTTGAAGAAAAATAAAATTCAGTTACTTACAAATAAGTAATCCCCGGAGTTTACACCAAAATCAATTCCAGATAGAATGAAGACTTAAATGTAAAAACCGGAACCATGAAAGAACTAGAAGAAAACCTGGGAGAATACATACATAATGTTGGATTGGTGAAAGCTTCCTAAACATAACAAATGAAGGAGTGGGGAGAGGGAGGGAGAAAGAAAAGAAAAGAAAGGCAAAAACCAAAAGAGGAAAAGCGTACTTACTTATTACAATTTTATTTATTTTTTTTTTAATTTTTTTTTTCAACGTTTATTTATTTTTGGGACAGAGAGAGACAGAGCATGAACGGGGGAGGGGCAGAGAGAGAGGGAGACACAGAATCGGAAACAGGCTCCAGGCTCTGAGCCATCAGCCCAGAGCCTGATGCGGGGCTCGAACTCACAGACCGCGAGATCGTGACCTGGCTGAAGTCGGACGCTTAACCGACTGCGCCACCCAGGCGCCCCTTTATTACAATTTTAAACCTGCATTTACGTTGACCCACCAATTTCCATTCTAGATGTCCATCTCACAGCAATACTGGCATGAGTGTCCAAAGCAATATTTGAGAATTTCTCAGCAGCACTGTTTATAAAACACTGGAAATTGCCAAAATGTTAATCAGTAGGGGAATAGTTAAATTATAGTGCCTGCATACTACATACTAAGAAGTCATAGAAAATAACAAGGGGCGCCTGGGTGGCTCAGTCAGTTAAGCGTCCAACTTCGGCCCAGGTCACGATCTCATGATTCGTGAGTTCAAGCCCCGCATCGGGCTCTGTGCTGATAGCTCGGAGCCTGAAGCCTGCTTCGGATTCTGTGTCTCCCTCTCTCGCTGCCCCTCCCCTATTCATGCTTGCACTCTGTCTCTATCAAAAATAAATAAACTTTAAAAAAATAAATTAATTAATTAAATAAAATAAAAATAACAAGGTAAGGGACTCCTGGGTGGCTCAGTCAGTTAAGCGTCTGACTCCATTACTGCTCAGGTCATGGTCTGATGGTTGTGAGATGAAGCCCTGCATTGGGCTCCTCACTCAGCATGGAGCCTGCTTAAGACTGTCTCACTCCTTCTCCTTCTGTCCCTCCCCCCGATTGCATGCGAATGTGTGCACACAAGTTCTCTCAAAAAACAAATATATTTTTAAAAATTAATTATTTATTCTGACACGATGACAATAAATTAAGTGAAAAGTACAAGTTGCAAATAGCATGTATGATATACCATGTCTTTACCAAAAAAACTCACATACTAACTTACTGCTAATCTTTTCATATTATTTTATGTAAATAAGAATGCTTAAAAGTGCTGAGTTCTTTTACTGAAAAGCTAGATTTTTCATGAAGACATTTTTATTTTTTCATTAATTTTTTAAAGTTTATTTATTTTGAGAGAGAGAAACAGAGCACATGAGCAGGGGAGGAGCAGAGAGAGGAGACAGAGAGAACCACAAGCGGACTCTGCACTGTCAGCTCAGAACCCAATGAGGGGCTCAAACTCACAAACCTCAAGATCATGATCTGAACTGAAACCAAGAGTCAAACACTTGACCGAATGAGACACCAGATACCACAGGACATATTTTTAGCATCATTAAGTTTCTATGAAGGAAAAATATTAGAACATATGTGATGACAGTTTTAAGGCCGCCAAGAATTACCCAACTTTGCTACTGGGGTGACAAATTACTAGTTCAAAGCTTCAGTTGACAGGAGAGAATTTTACACTTTTTAAATTGTTTTAAGTTTATTTATTTATTTTGAGAGACAAAACTCAAGCAGTGGAGGGGCAGAGAGAGAGAAAAAAAAATAGAGAGTCCCAAGCAGGCTCTGCATGGACATGGGGCTCAAACTCACAAAACTATGAGATCATGGCCTGAGCCAAAATCAAGAGTTGGACACTTAACCGACTAAGCCACCCAGGCACCCCTTAAGTTTAATTTTTTAAAGAAATACTACAAATAAACATTCCAAAGTTACAAAATGGTAGATTGTGAAATATCTCCCTCCCATTCTCCTCTCCCCAAAGGCAACCATATTACAAGTTTTGGGATATCCTTGCGAAATATTCTATACACATACAAGCAAACAAGCACATAGTTTTCCTTTTCTTAAAACCAACTTTTATACCCCCCCTTTTTTTTTAATTTTTAAATGTTTTTATTTATTTTTGAAGGAAAGAGAGACAGAGCATAGGGGTGGGGGGCGGGGGAGAGCAGGACAGGGGCAGAGAGAGAGGGAGACACAGAATCCGAAGCAGGCTCCAGGCTCTGAGCTGTCAGCACAGAGCCTGACGCGGGGCTCAAACTCATGAACTGTGAGATCATGACCTGAGCCGAAGTCAGACGCTCAACCGACTGAGCCACCCAGGGGCCCCTATTTTATTCTTAATAAAGAATTTAGCTCACTTCGCTTGCAGGTTTTAGAAGAATTTTCAATATCACATTTTATAGCCTTACGTTGACTTCCATCTTTCTCAAAGTTGTGGGAATTTCAACTGAATTCCTGAGGCTAAAGGAAACACTAAATACAGTAATATTTAAGAAACACTAGACTTAGTACTATTTATTGGGGAAACTCAAAGTGATTTAATGTATATACTCTACTTATATGCTTAACCAATGTTAGATTGACAAACGCATAGTTTATGCCATGGTAAAGTCGGAATTTTAGAACGAAAACACCTCAAAACATATGAACAAAATTTATTGTTACTGTTCTCTATTAATTGTTCATATTTTTACACTTGCTGGTCTCTTGATCTGGGATACCCATCTGCATGGTGCAAAGTTCAGCACCTCAATACTCCTTTACTGGCATTTATAACACAATTCGTCCTTTTATGTGTGATGAGATTCTTGAAGGCAGGGAACATAATTTAAATGATCTTTATATTACCAAACCCTAGTACTCTGCCTGGCAGTATTAGACTTTTAACAAGTGGTGGTTAAAATAAAAAAGTTTATACCAGAGCTGATAAATCGAGAAGGTAATGACAAGACCTAAAAATTAGGTCTTGTCAGGGGCACCTGGGTGGCTCAGTCCGTTAAGCATCTGACATGGGCTCAGGTCATGATCTCATGGTTAGTGGGTTTGTGCCCTGCGTGGGGCTCTGTGCTGACAGCTCAGAGCCTAAAGCCTGCTTCAGATTCGGTGTCTCCCCCCGCCCCTCCGCCCCTCCGCCCCTCCCCCACTCATGCTCTGGGTCTCTCTCTCAAAGAGAAAAATTAAAAAAAAAAAAAAAAAAAAAAAGATTAGGTCTTGTCAGCCAGAGCAAAAGCACAGAGAAGTAAAGCGTTTTTGGAAAACAGCAGATAGTTTGGTGTGACTGGGTGCCCAGTTTAAACAAAAGAGTTATTAAGTCTGAAAAGGTACGTATCAGGAGGCCTCCAGAGTAAAGTTCAAAATCCTCAGTTTAGCAAGATACATCAAAAGGGTGTTCCCCCAAATAGCTCTGAAGACTAGCCTCCGGCCACCAGCAACCTTAGCTCTGGCAGTATCCAATTACTTGCAATTTCCAAGAAGCATCACATTCTTTCACCCCTTAGCCTTCCCTTGTGCTTTGTCCTTTGCTGGGAAAGCTCTTCTCCCTTCTTTAAAACTCAGCTCAACTGCTACTTTCCCATGGACGCTTTCCCTGTTCCATCAGATTTGATATAGGAGTCTCTCCCCTGCTGACCTCTATTTTGTGGTTCCCTTAAGTCCATTGACATGTCCGGTTCCCCACTAAAGTCTACGCAACATGAACCAGGTTTCATCTTTGCATCTCCATCTTCTTTGGTTGTAGATACTCCGATGTTTGGGATTACTGAATATAACAGACTCCGTTTTCCATTATGCCCCCTGGACTCATTTGAAAGCGCATATACTCACTCTACAGACTGTAAACCCAAGTTTACAGACTGGTAGGGCTTGAATTTTAGATCAATTAAAACGACTTGTTAGCCACGCTTGCTGCCCCTCGCTAGCCAACAGGGTGAATGCCAGGCCAGGAGTCCAAGGCCCTAAGTTTGCACCAAGGCATTTCAAACATTTCCCTGTGTCCAACGTGTAGGACACAGCCAGGGCCAAGGCAAATAACATGTGTACAGGGGCCAGGACTTTAACAAAGAACTCCTCCCACTTGCAACTTGATGGATTACAAGGCCACGGACTACGCGTAAAAAGGAGCAAGATCCAAGGCCTGTGAGGTTGCCCAGAACAAGCCCAAACCCCTTTGCTCGGCATTTCTTCCCCAGCGGGCTTCCAGAATCTCAAGGCTGAGGAACAAAGCCAGTTAGAGACGCCCAAAGAGGCAAAAGAGGGGCCGGCGGGGAGGAGGAAGGGAGGGCTTTGTTCTGAGAGGTTCTCTTTCCGAACTCAGCTCCCTCACGGGGCTCTGTTCCCAAGCCCTCCACGCCATCACAGGCCGCAGCCACGGCCCCGCGCATTTGGGATTCCGGAATTGGCCGGGTACTGCACCGCTGCTGAGCAATCCCCGCTCCCGCCCAAGACTTCCGCGCTCCCCGGCCCACTGGGTGGAGGAAGGAACTCCAGAAAGTTCCACGAGCGCCAGGAACCAAGGCTTGCGCCCACCCCCACAAGGCCCTTCGGCACAGCTCCTCCCAGTCCGAGCGCCCCCGCGCCGTTGCCTAGGTAACCGCGGGGCGGTGGCAGCGGCGAAAGGGGCGGGACTTCCGTCGAGTGACGCGCCAGGACTCGGCTACAAAAGACGACGGCTGCGGCGCGCCGGGCGGAACTTTCCAGAACGCTCGCTGAAAAGCGGAGGAGCGGCGGCTGCCCGAGCTGCGCCCAGCAACGCGCTCCTTCCCGCTCCCCAACACCGGCCTCGGCCCCCTCACCGGTGAGTTTCAGCTCTCGCGCTTCCTCTCGTCCCAAGGCCGGCGCCATTGTCGGCACGGGGAATCCGGATGGAGCCGCGGTCGGAGGCGGTTGACTCCGCGTGGGCGGGAGGGTTGTCGGTTCCTGTATTCACGATTTTCTTTTTGGGAGGGCTGGTGTGTTGCCGCAGCAGTCTTCCGCACGCGGTGAGTGGGCTCGAGATGTTTCCTGAGGCATTTTCCACTCTATTTAGCCCGAGGTCCCCAAGGACTTGGAGCCCTCAGCTTTCCAATCGACCCCCCTTCCGTGCGCGCCCCCGCGTCCCCTCTGCTCCGGCTTTCTGGGGGTGGGCGACCATTGGCGCACGCGCGGAAGGAGCCAGGGGGCGAGGGGCTGCGGAGGGAGCGGGGCGGAGGCTGCGGTCGCTTCTCCGAGCTCCTCTTTGTTGAGGGCTGGCTGGGGTTCTCCCACCCCTTCGGTCCCAGGTGGGAGGAAGAAAACCATAACGGTCTGCACCTAACGTAGGGGGCAACCTAACACCATGGAAACTACGCTGACTCGTGGGGGCGAGAGGTGTTCGGTAGTGAAAGTAGAGATGCTATAAGTTCTTTGATTAAGAAACACCCTTAAGATTCCCGGGGGGGAGAGCTCGCTTTGTGGTGGCTTAAAATCAGTTTCATAAACCACTCCTTTCCCTCCTCCCCCGTGTCCAAATGCTTTTTTATCTAGGGAGTGTAGGGCTTATCCGATTTACCGGAAGATAAGGATAACGTAAGAACTGAGCCTATTGGTGCTCTTTTTGATTACTGCTGTCACACTGGGAAAGAGAAACAGGAAGAATCCGGATAATAGTGGCGTTAAGTATGGAGCTTTCCTGTGGGAAAGTGGGGACCAGCTGCTACAGAGAAAGGCCTGTGAATTATTCCCTGATAATTACTAGCTGATATTTAGTAAGAATTTATCGCTGAATTACCAAAGGATTTGTTCCCTTCTCTGAAGGTTAGGGAAGGTAGTGTTCTATCAGATTTGGGAGAGATGATTTCTCTGCCTTAATTCTGACTTTTCCTAATTAATAGTTGAAAGTTAAAATTGCATTTTATTTCAGGCTGTAGAAAATGGTGAAAGAAACTACTTACTATGATGTTTTGGGGGTCAAACCCAATGCCACCCAGGAAGAATTGAAAAAGGCTTACAGGAAATTGGCTTTGAAGTACCACCCTGACAAGAATCCAAATGAAGGAGAGAAGGTAAGTGATGTACTCCTACTTTTTTTTTTTTTTTTTATGTGTTCAGTCTTAAATGTAGCTGTGTAATTCTTTGCCAGGTATATACTGTTTCCATTGCAGTCTGATAATGAGTATGTGTAATACAGTGATTGTTTTTGCAGCACCTTTTTTCTGAAGGGAAATTTTCTTTCTCTCAGTTTAAACAGATTTCTCAAGCTTATGAAGTGCTCTCTGATGCGAAGAAAAGGGAATTATATGACAAAGGAGGAGAACAGGCAATTAAAGAAGGTGGAGCAGGTGGTGGTTTTGGCTCCCCCATGGACATCTTTGATATGTTTTTTGGAGGAGGAGGAAGGATGCAGAGAGAGAGGAGAGGTAAGAATAATCTAGTCCACATGCAACAAATTAAAGTAGCCCTTTGTGAAAGTAAATTCTTGAGAAATCACCTATTTGAAATGCTTGTTTACATGTTGGTATAAAGTTGCAAACTGACAAACTGCCACTTTGATGTAATTTTTTAAAGTGAGAGGTAACCGAAAACAGCTAAGTCAATCAAGTTCTAACAAGTGCTTGTAAAGTTCTCCAATATGTATGACATTTGGAAGGTTAGCAACCCTTAGGTAAAGGAATAGAGTATAGGAACATAGTATTCAAAACCCTTTTTAGAGATATTTGACCCCTCCCCCACCCTCCAGCCCAGTTGGAGGTGGTGGCCTTGTTGAAAGTGAGTTAAAGTGCAGAAATTTAAAATTTCCTCAGGGTCATATGTAGCAAGGCATCAGAGTCAGGATTAGCTTTTATTATGTCCCAATAGCTTACAGTCTGTTTAAAGAGATTTTTTTTTTTTTTAATTTTTTTTTAACGTTTATTTATTTTGGAGACAGAGAGAGACAGAGCATGAACAGGGGAGGGGCAGAGAGAGAGGGAGACACAGAATCTGAAACAGGCTCCGGGCTCTGAGCTGTCAGCACAGAGCCCGACGCGGGGCTCGAACTCACGGACCGTGAGATCATGACCTGAGCCGAAGTCGGACACTTAACCGACCGAGCCACCCAGGCGCCCCGCTTACAGTCTGTTTAATCTCGCTTCAATTTAAAATATGTACCCCTAACATTTAACAAAAATGTAGTTAAGGAACTTAAAACAATTTGTAATCAAAGTTAATTACTTAGGATGATTTGTCCCACAGAAAAACAGCTGGGTTTTTGTTTGTTTTGTTTTTTTTTTTGTTTTTTTTTTTTTTTTAATTTTTTTAAGGAATGGACTAGCAAAGTCTGACTCCCATTAAAAGGTTTTTTGGTCATGAAACTGGAGGATAAGTCACACTTCAGGAATTGTTTGCTCTCCCTTCTCTGTAGTCTCAAATCTATAAAGGTAAAGAAGGGCAGTTCTTAGCATGCCAGAATCAACTACATGGACCTGTATTTGATACAGAACCAAAGGTGGAGCTAGGAGGAAAAGGATACAGTTAATGGTGCTTCATTGGAAACTAAAAATACTCTTTAGGCATGCTCTGCAGATAAGAGTGAGGGAGGTTTTTCACTGAGGCTTAAGGCAGTACTCATTCCTGGTGGATAAAAGTCATTGTGGAAGAATCATTAGCTAGGAACTTATTAATTATTGGCAAGTGACTTCTTTGTAGCCTTTGTATCCTTATGCAATCTCTATTTTCCATTTCACATTTTAAGGTGAGATATGGCACTGCTTTATAGCCACTGGCTACATTTAAATAAATTTCTTTATAGTAGCCATTCTTAGGTGCTAAATAGCTACATGTGATTAGTGGCTACTGTATTAGATATCATGGATATAAAACGTTTCTATTGTAGGTGTATTGAATAGGACTGTATGAGAAATACAGTCTTTAACTACTGTTGCCCCAAAAGTAAATATGCCACGCTTCAGAAAGAAGTGGAAATTAATAGCCTTCTGTAGAGACTGAATAAATATGTCTGCTTTCCTGGCGAATTTTGCTTAGTTGGAACTCAGTGTGCTGAAGGATTTTTGGATGAAGAAATGGTTGGCCATGTTCAATACCATACTAAGTGAAAGGTTTAGAGTATATTAGGACAGAAATGCAGTTTGGATTAATTTATTGTGAAACCTATTTAAATAACATCGATTTCCCAAGTGATTTTGCAGTTGAGGTTTTTGATTAGCATGGTTTATAAGATGGCCACAAATATGTCCTCGGGCAGATTATTCAGTGTCACCCAGTTTTCCTCAACTGAAATCACATCATAGTTCGTGGATCATGTGTGATAATGTGGCCAACTTCTATGTATGTGATAGGTGCTCAACAGATGTGTCCTGTGAGACTAGTCTTTCATTATTCTTTACTATTTTTAAAGTGCAATGAACACAAACATAAATTTCTTAGATTTTTAACGAGCTGTCATTTATTCTAGGTAAAAATGTTGTGCATCAGCTCTCTGTAACCTTAGAAGATTTATATAATGGTGCAACAAGAAAACTAGCTCTGCAAAAGAATGTGATTTGCGACAAATGTGAAGGTATGTATGGTCTTTTCACACCTTTACTATAAGTGAAAATGAGACCAAAGCTCTTCTAGATAAATAAAACTGACAGTACTCTACCTAAATCTTGGAGAGTACGAGTATGAAGAAAACCTCCTGAATCCACCACCTTTTTCCACGTGTGTGTTTTATTCTTTTTTTTTTTTTTTTAACGTTTGTTTATTATGGATGGGAGGGGTGCAAGGAGAAAGGGAGACAGGATCCAAAGCAGGCTCTGCTGTGACAGCACAGAGCCTGATGTGGGGCTTGAACTCATGAAACATGAGATCATGACCTGAGCTGAAGTTGGACCTTAACCAACTAAGCCACTCAGGGGCCCCTTGTATGTTTTAAATACAGTTGGGATCAGTCTAATTTGTGGTGTCTTTTTTTTCCTCAACATTATTCAGAGTTGAACACTTCTGTTCTCTTTAAAACTATGTCATTCTAATGGCTTCCCTGATTTGTAATTAAACAGTGTCTTCTTTTTTGGACACTTAACTGTTTAGACCAGTTTCTGGGTGAGAACGTGTAATCTTAAGTTATTTGTTTGAAATAAAGGTATTTTCTAAAGAGAATACATGCTTTAAAATGTTCTCATCTCACAGATAAAGTATTCCTAAAAACTGTGCTTTGGGAGTACATGTTTAAAACAAAAATCTGGGGGCGCGTGGGTGGCTCAGTCGGTTAAGCGTCCGACTTCGGCTCAGGTCATGATCTCACGGTCCGTGAGTTCGAGCCCCGCATCGGACTCTGGGCTGACAGCTCAGAGCCTGGAGCCTGCTTCAGATTCTGTGTCTCCCTCTCTCACTGACCCTCCCCCATTCATGTTCTGTCTCTATCTCAAACATAAATAAACATTAACAAAAAAATTTTTTAAAAAAATCCGAAATGGTTCTTTGGAAAGACAGTAAAAATGTTTAATCTATTAACTGAAGCTGGTGGTGGCTATATTTTGTGAAATATAAGGCTGAATTGTAGATTTTTAGGACAGCATTCCATCAAACCTTGGAAACTGAATGTAGTGTTTAAGAACTTCGATTAATATTAAAACATTCGTCATATCCAATACTGAATTCCAACATTTCTTTTTAAACTGTTTAGGCCGAGGTGGTAAGAAAGGAGCGGTAGAATGTTGTCCCAATTGCC